CTCTAAAATAGAGATACAAGCTCCGTAAATATGAAGGTAATGAAAGACCAAATAAGCCATTACTACCAAATCTTGGCTGGAGTCTTAAAAAATCGATTTTTCTACCTGGTATTCCCTTTCATTCTTCAAAAAATGCAAATACATCCCTATAATTTTCTCGTGTTATTTTGTGTACAGCTTACACGATTATCTGCCTCCTCGTGGTTTGCCGTGTACCTCCGTCACTCAGAGGGGTGGACCATGGATTCCCTGGATTCATGATACATTTTGTTCCAGTTAATACATTTTAATAGCTCCTGACGATGTGGACGGACAAGGGTGCCGGTGGATGAGCCATAAACACGACACTCGGAATGGAGTAGCACTTACACTGCATGGGCAGCGAGGCTGTAGGAAAACATCGAAGCAAAGAGGGTTGAACCTTACATTTATTCAGCCGACGCTTTTCTCCAAAGTGATGTACAAGAGAGGATCAAGGACAGTCAGCTTCCTGAGAGCAATTAGGGTCAAGGGCCTTGCTCGAGGATGCAACAGGGACAACACTCTCTTCACTATGAGTTTGTACCTGGTGACCTTCTGATTATGGGCACAGAGCCGCACACGTGGTGGCGCCTGGTTACTTTCAGCTCTGAGAGTGAGTTGAGCGGCGGGTACTTGAGCAGTTGTGCGACGCACTGCTGTCGTCATGGCTCGCATCGTACCGCAAAGAGGATGCTCGCTTTCCTACATGCCTTGTGATCATAAATGCATCCCCGCTTTCAGTTTACTGGCATCCCCTTCCATCTGCTCAGTTTTTGCGAAGACGTGAACGGTTTCGCTTAATAACCGAATCAGCGTACTGCTGATGTCTCCCCCCCTCCCTCTTTTAACAGTGTAATCTGCTCTCATTATTTTGTATATTGTATAATTTCATGGCTATTCCTCTATTCCTGTGTAGTTCTGAATAATGGTCCTTTATTGGATATGCATATTGTATATGCCTTTTCTATGTGCGCAATGCTGCTAAATGACATTTCACTGCACTACATGCAGTGACAATAATGATTCTTATCTTATCTCTGTAGCGGGCGCGGTTGACCGTTTTACTGGTGCTGAGGCATCCGGCTGAAGGTGCTGCACCAAGGGGGGGCAGTGATCCTGCAGGCTACCTATGGCTCTGTATTCTTTGCCACCCACTTCCGGGATGGATTGGGTGCTCAACCTGTCATTCAAACAGCTCTGATCAGCAGCTGCATCCGACAGCCCCGGTCTACCTGTCCCAATCGATGCACCACCCATCATTCTAACAGCTTATCCTTGGGGAGGGGTGGGGGGGGGGGGTAAAATCTCTCCCAGGAGGCCTAGATGGGATGCCAGCCCATCACAGGGCATACCCACATTTAATGGGCAATTTTGAGGCACCAGTTAGTCTAACAGCATGTCCTTATATCACAGAAGAAAATCCAGGCAACATGCGAACATACACACTCGCATGCACATACACATGTTTGTATTCATATCTTTGAGGGGACCATCCATTCATTTCTAGGGAAAAAAAAGAGAGACTCACAAGGTCAAACTCTGCAGACTGCAGCCGTTCCCCTTACATATCCCTCCTCTTGCGGTCAGTGTACCACACTCTCCCATCACCTGCACATTTAGTAAGGTGAGGCCTGAAGAAGGACCCACTTTGCAAACTGTGTGGGAAGAAAGGCAGACTTGCTCATGTCCTGGCCGGGTGCCGCATGGCTCTCGCCCAGAGGAGGTACAGGTGGCAGCACAATAAGGTGCCCGTGGTTCTGGCAGACATCTTGGAGCAGGCAAGGAAAAGACCACAACAATCACACGGGCTGCAAGTAACACCTTTGCAGTTTATTCAGGCAGGAGAACGGCCATCTACTGCAAGGAGGACCTAAGCCAACATCCTCCAGAAGGCACAAAGGTGGGAGATGAGAGCAGACCTGGGAAGGAAATTGAATTTCCCCCCTATCGTCCAAATGTCACTGAGGCCGGATATCGTCATCTGGTCAGAGAAGGCGAGGAAGGTCATCCTTGTGGAATTGACTGTCCCATGGGAGGAAGGCAGTGATGAGGCCCGTGAGAGGAAGAGCTTGAAGTACCTGGGTCTTGTCCAGGAGTGCAGAGAAGAAGGGTGACAGACGTGGCTGTTTCCTATTAAAGGGTGCAGAGGGTCCCTGGCACAGCCTGTGTGGACAGTGTCTGCTGCACTGGGTATATCAGGGAATGAGCAGCTGTGCACAGGGTTGGGGAGGCAGCAGATAGAGCCCCTTGTTGGCTTTGTCATAAAAGGGAGAAGGAGGGCTGGAGGCCCGGAGCTGATGGGCAGTGATCTGGCCACCACTGCCGACCCGCCAACTGGAGGGTGTTGCGGTTACGGGTCAAAACACCCGGTGAAGGTTAGGCACCGTCTGATGACATCAGCTCCGGACTGAAGGCCACAGTTCTTCAATAAAGATGAGTGGCATCCTCAGATATATTAAATAAGGAAGAACCCTAATCCCAACAATGACAACTTTAAGCCCTACCCAGCCCCAACCTTACCCATAAGTAACCAAACAAGAGTTGCAGTTTTTTGATTGCAGTCACAGATTTTTCTAAAATTGAGAAAAAATGGTCCAACCAAAAATCCAAGACTTTTGGCATTTTTACTTTTTCGATTGCAGTCACAGAGTTTTTTTTATTATTTATTTTACTTGAGGTTATCCAAATGGAGACCCGAGAAATGTCCCCAAGAGTAATGAAGTTTCAGGTTTTATCACTCTTTGGGGACATTCTGGTCCCCAAATGTGATTTATGCACCCCCCCCACAGACACACACACACACACAGCATATAGGTCAGATTGGAACCCCTACTCTGCTGAGTGATATACTGTATGCAGTACAGCACAGTCGTACAGAGCAGCTGTCATAAAAATTTGTACAGCTCATCTCCGAAAACCAAAAGAGCTTCCATGACCAATTGTGAGAAGGTACTGCGCTTACAGGTACATGAATCTCAGCAGAGTGCCAAGATACCTAGAAGTGGTCAGGAACTGCCAACATATGGGAATTTACACCTCATCTGGCATGTAATAACTGCTGATGATTCACACAGAGACACACACACAGAAACACACAGACACACACACACAGACACAGACACACATGCGCACACACAGATACACACAGACACCGACGCACACATGCACACAGACATACTCACACAGACACACACACATATAGACAAACACATACAGACACACACACACATTTCTCACTGACCTTCCTTACTGGTCTCTAACACACCCCCTTCACCCGAAGTGAGTCATTTTAACTTTCTCTCTCTCTTGCTCACCCAGCTAATGCCCCCCCCCACCTACCCTCCTCCCTCCCAGTAGCTTTCTCCTGGCAGGCAATGAAACTGGGCCCCATAGATAAGGTAACACCCCCCGACAGGCGGCCAGTGTGACCCCTGCCTACGGCCTCAGGTTCCCCGTCCGGGTTTTTAGTAGCTGTTCCCACACCCTGATGAGTCACCTGTGCCCCCCAATTCCACAAAGACAACCAGATTTATTCACAGGGCGTGGAGGCGTGAAAAAGAGGCATTCGATTTCGACCCCCACCCCCCACTGCCCTGCAAAGAGCCCAAATCAGATTTCCTAGATCTGATTTGGGGGGGCCTACTGGGATTTCCCAATGCAACAATGATCGATGTGGTCCATAGTGGGGTGGGGGGGGGGAGTTTGCCAGTTCATTCGACTCACACATCCCACTCAAATGGAAATGCACTATATCCATCATTCTGATGATGTTAGAAACAAAAAAGAAAAAGTTTCCTGTTCGATCGCTCACTCAGATCATGTTTTTTGAATATCGGCTCCCTCATAGTATTTTTGCAGTCTACTAAACTGCCTATCGTTATGGAAGAAAAAAATTCTGTGTACAGAATGAAAGTTAGTTGTTATAAATCACCATGTTAAGGGAGGGAATATTGTCCAAGGCTTGACTCCCCCATTTGTTATGTTGCCTCAATCAAATCCCTGCTCTGGAAGGAGTTTTTACTGTATATTATCTGTATACTGTACGTCACAGAGAGGCCTTAAATATCTCCGTGGGTTTGCCTCACCTTAGTTTTTAAAACACCTCATGTCAAATATGGCCGACTACCATAATTCATGCAGCGACCTCTTCGCCAATGAGTTTTGCTCAGCTAAAAATTTCAGACAGCCTTCTAAAAGACAGGCTTTAAATGTTTTTTTTAATATATTCCACTTGAGACGGGATGTAGAGCTTTTTCCCACTCGACATGATACATTTTTCAAAGGTGATCTTAATTATATATAAATAAATCGGTCTCCTGGAAACACAGACCGGCTGCTTCTACGGGAACATGTTATATACCTCCTCCAGCTGGCAGGCTGTCTAATAGAACGAGTGCGGTGACTGTTGGGGTCGCTCAGTCTCACATAAGCTGCGTGTTTCTGCAGGTGGATTAATTTTCAGAGCTGTTCAGGGCTGCCGGTCTGAAGAGTTAAACCCGTTTTTTTCCCTCTAGAACACTGGCAGCCAATAGGGAGGGAGGGAGAGCGAGAGAGAGAGAGAGAGAGAGAGAGAGACAAAGTGAGAGAGAGATACAGAGGGAGCGATTGGGGGGGTACTGAGGGAAAATGTCCTTGCCGCTGCATTAGACTCGGAACGGCAGTGCAGGAAAGGACCAGCAGGGCTAAAACAGAGGAATACAAAGGACAGGAAGACAAGAGGAGAAGGAGAGAAGAGACGCATCTTCAGGACAACAGCTGTGGACCTCTCCATCCATTCCACTCCTTTCTCCTTCACCACTTTCTGAAAATCCCCTTCCTGCCCCCTCTCTCACCCCTCACTCCAGCCCCTCCACTCCCTCTC